TCCAGCGCATCCCCAGTCTAATGGACAAGTCGAGGCCGTTAACAAAATAATCAAGCGCATTCTGAAAACTAGCTTGGACAAAGCTAAAGGTTGTTGGCCAGAATTCGTTCCCCAAGTTCTTTGGTTATACCGCACTTCATATCGGACTTCCACAGGAGAAACTCCATTCTCACTTGCTTTTGGTACAGAAGCAGTTGTCCCGGTTGAGCTTGAGCAAGCAACATACCGAATCCAGAATTACATGCAGAGTGAGAACGACAAACAACTCACCCTCAACCTGGATCTAGTCGAGGAACACAGAAATCAGGCTCACCTGAGGAATGTCGCCTACAAGCAGCGCATTTCCAACTACTACAACTCAAGGGTCAAACCTCGCTCTTTCAAAGTGGGAGACTGGGTACTGAAGAAAAGATTACTCTGTGATAGGGTCCCGAGTGAAGGAACACTCAGCCCTAACTGGGACGGACCGTTCGAGGTCGTCGGCATCAGCCGCCCTGGCTCCTACAAGCTCAGAAACTCCGACGGCAAGACCCTTGGCCATCCATGGAATGCTGACCACTTGAAGTACTATTACAAATAGACTCACATTGTACAAGTGTTAAGCTACAGCCGTTCGGCATCCTATGTAACAAAGACCATTTGGTATGAATTCAATAAAGAGGTGATTTAGCCAACTCGGCCATAAACTCTTTTCCATTCTGAGCAATGAAACACTCAAGTGTTGAAGCTTCAACGCAAATGTTTCCAATACTAAACAAAATCTAAGTATGTGTCAACAAGACTATACAAAGGATAAACATCATACATTCCAACACATTCATACATAAACATCATACATTCCATTACATTCATACATAAACATCATACATTCCAACACATTCATGCATAAACATCATACATTCCAACACATCCATACATAAGCCAACTGTGCTTTGAAAGGGTTCAACACACTTTGTGTCATTCGACATTTGCCACAATGTACCTCGACACCTTGCCCTTATTCTCACCAACTAGGTGATGAAGGAACTCACTTTCATACCACCAACTAGGTGATGAAATGTACATCCCGTACTCTAATATTATTTGGAAACTTGCCACCCTTATCACCAATCAGGTGAAGAAGGAACTCATCTTCATGCCACCAACCAGGTGATGAAATGTACAACGCGTACTTTCCTTCATGTCACCAACCAGGTGATGAAATGTGATGAAAGGTGATTAAGGAATTCACATTCGTACCACCAACCAAGTGATGAAAGCAACCTATCATTCATTCCATTAACCAGAAGACGAGTGGTACAACTTGTACATGTGAACTCCTAGCATTCACAAATAATCAAAAACCATCAAACTTTATAACTCAACTAGGGGAGCACTTATGCCTAACAAGAGCTATAGTCACCAACAAAGTCTTATTGCAAGCCAACAATGGCTTCAGTGCATGATATACGAAGATCAAGCTCTTCAGCCCTTTTGCATCTGCTTCAGACATTTCTCCTCTGTAACAATGCAAACACTACAACTCATAGAAAGCTTCAAACGCTCTTGATCAAGACTGTTTGAAGCAAATTCAATTTATATGGTTCATCCAAACCTTCGACTACTACAAGATGTGGCTTGCATCACAATCTCTCGCTTAACAGTATGGAAGCAAAATTTGTATACGTTGTCTCTCCCACATTTTCAAATTTCTAGTTTTCCCAAAAAAAAAAAAAAAAAAAAAAAAAAAAAGAGGAAATTGGAAATTGGGAAATTCAACAAAGCTTCATCAATGGAACACAACTACAATCCTCAAAAGCTTTGCACTATCTTCATCAAGATAGTGTGAAGCAAAATCAATTTATGGTGCCAACAAAAGCTTTATCAATGGAGGACACATATCAATCTCAAAAGCTTTGCACTATCTTCATCAAGATAGTGTGAAGCAAAATTAATTTATAGTGCCAACAAAAGCTTCACCTATAAAGCTTCAACACCAAAGCTTCACTTATAAAGCTTCAACACCAAAGCTTCACCTATAAAGCTTCAACACCAAAGCTTCACCTATCAATCTCAAAAGCTTTGCACTATCTTCATCAAGATAGTGTGAAGCAAAATCAATTTATGGTGCCAACAAAAGCTTCATCAATGGAGGACAAATATCAATCTCAAAAGCTTTGCACTATCTTCATCAAGATAGTGTGAAGCAAAATCAATTTATGGTGCCAACAAAAGCTTCATCAATGAAGGACATATATCAATCTCAAAAGCTTTGCACTATCTTCATCAAGATAGTGTGAAGCAAAATTAATTTATAGTGCCAACAAAAGCTTCACCTATAAAGCTTCAACACCAAAGCTTCACTTATAAAGCTTCAACACCAAAGCTTCACCTATAAAGCTTCAACACCAAAGCTTCACCTATCAAGCTTCACCTACAATACAAAATTTCAACACCAAAACATATAAAAGCTTCACACACTCTTCATCAAGATAGTGTGAAGCAAAATCAATTCATGATGCCCAACAAAGCTTCAACCTCAAAGCTTCACATACAAAGCTTCAACCTCAAAGCTTCACATACAAAGCTTCAACACCAAAGCTTCACCAACAAAGCTTTTAAATATATATATATTATTTTTATTTTTTATTTTTTCGGAAATTCGAAAATTCAAAAATCCGGAAATTTGAAAATTCAAAATTCAAAAAAAAAAAAAAATCAAAAAATCAAAAAATCAAAAAATAAAAAAAAAATCAAAACAAAAAAAATAAAAAAAAAAAATAAAAAAAAAAGAAAAAAAAAAAAAAAAAAAAATTGCCTAGGCCTCCTCTTCTTTGGGCCTAACAACTTTCATAACAAATATATATGAAGAAGGAGTTTTGGGCTACCACTTAGAAAGGAAATGCCTCATTCGTCAACTCCCTCGACCAGAGACTTGGGGGACTCCTACCATATGCTACTGCACCTTGATACTCGGAAGTCTCACGACCACTTAGTGACTTGGATTTTTCAAGTCTCCAAACGAGAAGTTTTCCTCACTCGGGAAATTAAGGGAGCACTACCTCAACCTACATGCTTCACTCACAAAGTTTCAACATACAAGCCTCAACAAAAGAAAAAATTCAAAGAACTTAGTGAAGAAGGCCTTGGTGTATTTAACACAATACGTTGAAATGAAGCAAATCTTGTTTATTGATATTCCCGATAAGTTACAAATATGTACATATACATGAATCAAAATAAACAAACAAGAGGGAGCTTTCACAAAGGTTGCTTAGGGGAAGTCTCAGCAGTCGGTAGAGCCCCAGAAAGAGAAAGCACCGGAGGGTGGTTATCCGGAGCCTCAGTATTGGAAAGAACCCCAGAATGAGGAGGCATTGGAGGTTGATCATTTGGAGCTTCATTATGCGGTACAGCTCCAGAAGACGAAGGCAATAAATGCCTTTGGAACAAACCCACAAACCGCTGATGATAAAGTAAAACCTGACCATCAGCTTCCTTCATCTGGTCAAGCTTCCTCTTCATGTTTGTAGCATAGTCATGTGCGAGCCGGTGCAACTGTTTATTCTCATGCTTGAGCCCTCTAATCTCCTGTTTGAGACTCATCACTTCAGCAGCCAATGATTCAACTTGGCGGGTTCTAGCAAATAGGCGTTGGGCCATATTAGACACAGAACCTGCACACTGAACACTAAGAGCCAGAGAATCCTTAACAGCCAACTCATCAGACCGTTTGGAAAGTAGTCTATTATCTTTGGGAGTGAGAAGGTTCCTGGCCACCACCGCAGCGGTCATATCATTCTTCATCACAGAATCCCCAACGGTAAGAGGACCAGTAGGGGATATGAAGGATGGGCGCCATATGTTGTCTGGAGAAGGCGTGGCTGTCTCTTCTCCAAGGTTCAAGTCAAAACGACGGTCGGAGAGGCCAGACATTTTCAAAGGTGTTGAAGAGGGAAGAGGTCAGACAAATCAAGATCTTAGAAGTGCAAGAAGGGAGCTTCTACTGGTGGAGATTCAAGTGTGCTGTGGAACTTAATGCCAACCTCTATAAAAATCTGCACTTAACGGAGCTTCAGGAATCGAAGAGGCGTTTGCTTTCTCGAAAGCTAAGCTGCTCAGAGACCACGATGGCCGATCTCAGAAATCGAAGAAGCACCTTCTTTTTCAGCCTCGTCAGCACCTGTCACATGCACACTCAGCTTTCCGGAAATTACGGGCAATCTGTCGAAGATTTCTGGTGAAGTAGAAAGCACGTGAATCTTACTGTTCAATCACCTCTCTCCACACGCACCATCAACTCCTCGGGTACCACATATAACTTTGTCAAAGATCTCTGACAAAGTTTAGGCACGAGAATTTCAAAGTTCCAGCTACCCTACTATTACCCACAAGGGTAAAGGAACAGAACCACTGCTTGACAACTGGAAAGTCCCTATGTGTGTCGACCTCCGTGTTCTGTGGCAAGACAGGCTGGCAAGAACGTCCAACCTTTACTCACATTCGAGAAAAGACTCCCAACATAATTACTTTCTCAAAAACCGAAGCGGCACCGCTTTCCGAATCTCGAGAGCCAGATCCCCGACGGGATTGCTTGTTCGAAAACCGAAGAGGCATAGCTCTCAGAACTTCGAGAGCCAGATTTCCTTAGATAAAGCTTGTCTGTAATCTTCACACGCAACATCAGCTTTCCAGATACCACATACCATTTTTTCAAAGTGCTCTGACAAAGTTAAAACACGTGAAGTGGCAGCTCCAACTACATTGCTGTGACCAAGAAGGGTAAAGGAATAGCATTACTACTTGTTATTAGGAAATCCCTATATACATCGACCTCCCTCCTCAATGGACAGGCAAACCTGCAAAAATGCTCAACCCTTTCTCGCATTCGAGAATGCACCCTCAACATAACCTCTCGAAATACTCAGCTTTATTTCCCCTCGATAATACCTCAGCAAATAAGCCACACCAAGAACAAGAGTATCTCATATCATCAGGGTCGAAAGCAAGAGTATCCCATATCATGCTTTCTCCATGTCCTTGTCTTCGTCCTTGTCCACAACTGCAGGACAAAGAGAAAGAGAGCAGTCAGTCGGAACCTGAAATCAAACCTCCAATCTGGAACTGACTGCCTGAGACCTTTGCTTGGTTGCTTACTTAGCATTGCTCTCGAGAACTCATCATCAACTACTGTCAAGGTCATGAATTCCACCGGCACATACCTCATGACAGTTGATCAGATATTGGCTCTTTACACTGAAGCTGCCAAGCGTGGATGAGTCACTATGAAGGAATGTTCTGAAGGACCATTTAAATGCAAAGGTTGCACACCACTTCTGCCATGCAAAAGATTGAAGCAGAAGGTTCAACGGTGAGCTGAAACAGATCACTACAGCATGACACCTTTCCATACCACATTCATTATTCCGTCAACAGCAAAAGTATCCCATATCATCAAGGTCGAACGTACTCTAGATTTGATGGACTTGTTTTGACCCTCAAATTCTTGAGTCGGCCTTATACTCTGAAGGGAACCAGAAAACCCTCCAGCACAGTTCAAGAATAAGCCTGTGGAAAGTTACTTCTTCAAAAGCAAAAGTATCTCATATCATCTCTTCTCCATTTGCTTCTCCTTATCCTGGCAGCTGAATGAGAGACAAGGAGAAGGAGAACAATCAACCGGAAGCCAAAGTCGAACCTCCAATCCTGGGTTGCTTGCTTGGAAGTTTGACTGCTTACCTTGTTTGTCACCTCTTTCGGCAGATCTCCTAGCTCGGCGACTTGGGGGATTTCTACTATAGGGTTTGTATCACACTTGACCAAGCCTGAAACTACAAGTAAGCTTCAAGTGAAATTGATACATTACCTTGTGCATCTTCATCGGTTAAAGATACCACCCATGGATGGAGGAAAAGTACTTCCAGAGAAGATGCCACATCTACATATGAGATAGATAAGGCACGTGAAAATGATACCACACTTCAGTACTTAGAAGTTTCGTGATTACTCAATGGCTTGGATCTTGCAAGTCCCCAACCGAGGAGCTTCCCTCACTCAGGAACTTAGGGGAGCACTGTTTGTACCATACTTGACCAATCCCGAAACTACTGAGCACCGGTCAACGTTATACCATCAAGGACCCAGAAGAGCTTCCTTTCAACCAGGAGGTCAATCACAATGTGACACGTGTCGACATCAGAAGCCAATCACAGCTCGACACGTGTCAACATCAGAAGCCAATCACAACACGACACGTGTCAATGTTAGAACAAAACTAGAAACTCTCTTCTATAAATAGGGATCATTCTCCCACAATAATCTCTAATGTCATTTTGTACTAAACTATTCACTAGAACTCACAAAATGAGAGCTTGAACCTATGTATTTTTGTAAACCCTTCACAATTAATGAGAACTCCTCTACTCCGTGGACGTAGCCGATCTGGGTGAACCACGTACATCTTGTGTTTGCTTCCCTGTCCCTATTCATTTACGTACTTATCTTCACAAGTGATCGAAGCAACCAAGCGAAGGTCACAAACTTGACACTTTTTGTTGTACCAAAGTCCTCGCTGATTTTGTGCATCAACAGTATTAATTTCGGGACAGTCTCATACATCTGTTAATCAAATTGTTAACTCTGCTGTTAACTAATAACGTGGCACCCATGTGGACAATGACTGGACGCCACGTGTCATTAAGGGTCCATGTGGAAAAAAAAAAAACAGAACCCCCATTCTTCTCATGCGCAGACAATATCATTTCGACTTTCTTAGCCTTCCCCTTTACTTTCTCCGCTGTCTTTTGAATCTTAGTGCTGCTCTTCCCATCCGCCGCCGATCCATGGCTCAACTTTGGGCTCGCCGCCGACTTAGGGTTCAGGAACACAAAAACGTCTTTGTTGTCGCTGTTGCTTCGGAGCTTCAAGTCTCTGACTCTCCACAACTTCAAAGATCTCGTGGAATTGCTCTTGTTACGGAGCTCCAGCACCGCCTCCACCGGCTTCTTTGACCACTCGCCGTACATTCCTTCCGGGACTCCTTTGAGCTTGTCCAACTCGGATGCCGACGACGACTATGAAGAAAGGCTTCTTCAACGGTGGCCTTAGAGACGAGGATAGAGTTGCAGACGAGGCCGCTCTGGCTCTGGAAGCATCGCCGTCGTCAGCTTCGGCGAAGAGAAGATCTTGGTTGAAAATCAGAAATACCAGTTGGATCTGGTCGTTTTGTAATATATCATCCGCGAAAATCGGTGAACCATCGACGTTCGTGGGTGTGAAAGAGAAATTGTTTTCGTTTTTGCTCTCGCATTCGCCCCCGTCGTCCACACTTTGAGCTTTTTTATCTTCCATTTCTGGCTTCCTAGTGTCCTCGAATTTAAAATCGCCGTTGGAACCGACGATTTGGAGCTGGGAGTTGAAATTCGCAAAGAGCTGCGCTTATTTGGGTTTTGCGACGGTGAAAAATGGTGATTCGATTCTTGATTTGTTTTGGTGCGCTGGTGGTTATGTTGGAAGAGATGGAGGGTTGGGTGGAAGGGGCCGAAGGTTCTGATGTGGGAGTTCAGGAGGTTGAAGGCGGCGATGGAAGAGCTGAGGGGGGATCTAGAGAGGAATGGACCACAAAGGGTGGTGGAGTTAGAGAATGAGGGCGACAACGGGATTTTTGGGATGGGAGAAGGGGGTGGGCTCGAGTGGCGACGACAAGATTTTTGGGAAGGATGATGGGGGATGGGAAAAGGTGGGATGGAGGCGCAATGGGGAGGGAAGTGCTTACAGGTGATCGGGGTGGGCACGGGGGGATTTGGGGAAGACGATTTGGGTTTTGCTTTTTTTTTTTTTTTTTTTAATTAATTTTTTTATAACTTTTCTTTAAATAATTATTTTTTTGAATTTTTAATTTCCACGTGGACCCTTTAATGACATGTGGCATCTAGTCATTGTCCACATAGGCACCACATCATCAGTTAATGGCAGAGTTAACAGTTTGACTAACGGATCTATGAGACTGTCCGAAAATTAATACTTTAGGTATGAATCTGGGACGAAAAAAACTTCATGTACCAAATATTGAAAACCACAAAACTTGAAGGTAGTAAACTGATATTTACACTAATCTTTAATATTCTACCCTTCAACAGAATGGGTGGGCTACTGATCTTGGGAAGTAGGGGGCATTCACATCAAATAGATTTGCAGCTTGTAGAAGACCAATTGGGGATTGCAGAGGACTTCAAAACTGCAGGATTCCTGGTGATTGCAGAGGAGAAGGGAAGGAGAAGACGCGTTGAACATATGAATTGATTTCTGGCCACACGATTTATTACGAACCGCCAAAATGTTTTGATCTCGCGGATCCAGATATAATTGATCCGGAAAAGATCTTAGTCCAATGAAAAGACCATAATTGACTGACAATGGCAATTACGCAAGCTGATGCAGTGCTACAAAAGCACAAATATGTGTTCTTTGTAGACTCTAGTAGCAGTATATGTCATTGGTGTTCGCATCATGACCTATATGTGCAACTTTGGACTTTCCAATATAAAAAACACTTCCAAAGGGTGAAGAGTAGGACCCTCATCAAACTGCCAAACTATTTGCTAAGGGATGTGCTATCCACACACTTCTTTTTACTTCTCACACATCCCTTGTTAATTTATGTCCGTTGATTTTCTTTAATTCATTCGATCAGACGGTCGAAAACTAAAAAGGTGTGGGAGATGTAAAAAGAGGTGTGTGGATATCACACCCCTTTGCCAATTGATGGCCTTATCTAACGGACGTTAAGTGTTGAATGGATATTTTTAATTTAAGAAATAATTTTCGCATTCCATTTTCTACTTTATGGCACACACTATTGTTTTTTTTATAGATTTTTTTAGTTAAAATGGTCCATGAGATTGTTATAACTTCTTACTTTGGATTTTGATATTTAAAATCGATATAAAGCTGTCCATAAGATTAGTCACCATCCATCATTTTGAACCTTCTATGAAAAATTTTCATTAAATTGATTACACCATCGGTTCAAGTGAAGGTGTTGATTGACAAAAATATCCTCAACATAACAAAAAATTCTCACAGAAGTACCAAAATGATTGACGGTGGTATGTGGACAATCTTGGAGACCACTTTTATTATCGATTTTAAATATCGTAGACCAAAGTGATGATTTATGTCAATCTCAATGATCATTTTGGATAAAAAAAAAAACATTATTTTTTTTCTTTTTATTTCATCTTTGATTTTTTTTTCAATGTAAAGGAAATAAACTAGTGTGCACCGGAGAGAGGGACTTCCATTGAATAGTTACACGATCACAATGACATTTTAGACTAATAACTCAATGTTGTGTGTGTGTTTTTCTTCACATGAAATTGTATTACTATTGGCCTGAAATGTCTCCGGCAACCTCATATCCATTTCGTGACATGTCACCTCACATAACTCAACCTCGCATAAAAATTTATGAATAGAGATGCAAAAGAAGGATAGAAACATCTCTTCCCCTACTTAAAAAGAGGTATGAAGAAATACCAGTGCTATATACACTCGGTGCATGGAAGTTTTCCAAATGGCCCATCTAGCTTTAGCACTAAAAGATTGTTTATAAGCTATTGATTTAAAGGAAAACTGATGAAAATGACTTAAAAACTTTGCGTATGAACGATGATTGATTTAAAGGGTAAAATGAATAGTATCATAATTGATTTTTTAGTGTAAAAATATGATTTTTCGTTAAAGTGAACAATATCATGAGTTTTTCATTAAAGTTCTCTTGATTTAATGATATTTCTTTTATAACGTTCAATCCGACTTGACCCTACCACTTATCAAACATGTGCTTATAATTTATGCAGTGGGGTACATTTCAAAAAGGGTCTAACAACTGACTGGGTCTGGACCGCACTGAAAGAGGATGGTTGATGTAGACATTTAGGTCCAAATGTTGTATAAGATTTTTCAAAAAAAAAACAAAAAAAAATGGTGTATAAGCTTTGTCGCATCCAGTATGCGACGTCTCCTTGGAATCATACTATATTTCCAACTCATTATCGCAGAACATTCACATTCTGAAATGAATAGAAATCTTCGAGAAGTACCACTTGATCAATCAATATGTGCAGCACTTCTTCTGAATTTCTTGTATAAGTGTTAATTTTGTGCTAGTTTATCTATTCTGTACATTAAGTTTTCATGTTATATTGAAAGAGAATCGAAAACTTGATCTAAACTAATTTAATTTTAAACAATTTATCTACTTATCCTCATCACTTGGGTTAGTGTTAAAACCCTTCTACGTCTTTCTCAATTGCATAATAAAAGTAACTTTCTATTACACAAATGACTTCTTTTACAATGACTCATTTTCTTTACACTTACTATTTATAGTAGCAGATAACAAGACTTACTATCAAGGAGTCCAATATATAACAACCAAATGACCTTCAAAACCCTAATTGGTTAGTTACAAACAGTAAGTAATCAATATTACAAAACTGCCACATTATGATGATGCCAAGTGGCATCATTACTTTAGTCTAAAGAAGGGATTCCAATTGCACTGTTCAAATGTACAGTGTTCGGAGCAGAACCTGTTCTTTCCCTCTTTCTCTCTCCCGACTCTCTCTCGTCAAATGAACAGTGTTATTTTGGGTCTGAACGCTTGATCCAACTACTCTTATGAGCAGTGTTAATATTAGTTCATGATAATTATAATAGATTATAATTTTATTAATTGGATTGCACATTAATTAGTGAATTGAAGGATACTTGGAGATTTGAGCTATTGGGTTTTTGTTTTGTTTAAAAGACTCGGATTGAACTTCTGAAATTAGTTGGGTGAAGAATTTGACAAAAATATGTTTTTCTCTCTTAATTTTCAAACTTTGGATTTGATGGAGGATCATCTTAAGGGAGGGAGGGATGAATTACTATTTTATAATTGATGATATATAAATAATAAATTGAGTTCCCTAATTTTTCTGTTATAGGTGAGGAAAGCACCGAGCCTGCAGCAGCATGCAGCAGCTCAACTGAAGGTCGAAGTTTGCATTCTCATGGAAAAAGGCAAAAGTGAAGGACTCTAAGCTTCCAGAATGTCAAATTTGTAAAACTTTCGGTTGTTCTGGCAAGTTTTATTGTAGTGTGTGTGTGTGTGTCCATCATCATGTCATTGGAATCATATATTTGAATTTGGATTTGGAATGGTTTTTCTGATGTTTGTATTTTTTGTATATTATAATTCAGTGCAGGTTTGCATTGGATATAGGATAGTCATGTATCGGTTCGAAGCTCGGCTAATGATGGTTTCAGATCTTGATCATACAATGGTAGGTTCTGTAACTCGTTTTGTCATCGTAGGTTACGTAATCTGAATAATATAAATTAGGGTTTTTCGGTAAGTGTCCAATTAGTGAAGAAAGGATGATTCTTTTTGTTATCATGCATATTTAAGCTGTAAACATCTGAAAAGCTGCTTAATTGAAGTGAAATTTCCAGTTTTTGAGCCCGATTTCAAGTCTTTATGCTAAAAAAATTCAAGGATGTACTTGATTTAATGCGTTTTCTCTGTTTGCTATCTGTGTTTTATGTGATTGTTTATTTTTGGCTATGGAGTTGTGTAGTTTAAGTTGGAGTATCAAAAAGGCGATGCTTTAATCTTTCTTAATATAGTTCCCATTTGCATTTGTGGACAGGCACAGTTGAGGGAGGTGACATTGCAGGAAGAGAATGCTGTATATGAAAGGGCAATATCGTGTGAATAAAATACAGGAGAAAATTCAAGAAGCAGATTTGCTGAAGAGGAAGCTAATGATGAGACTTGAGTATATTGTATTTTTGTTAATGGAGACCAACACTCTTTCTGAAAATTTATGATTTTTGTTATCAGGAGATGGAAGAGAATGAAAGGAATTTGAGATATGAACTCGAAAATGCACAAACCGCATTGGATGCCAGTTGATCTGGTCAATCAGATGAATCCATTGGTGACCCGAAGACGACAGTTGAAACCGAAAATGACGTAGAAGCTTTAAAGAAGGCTATACTTGAAAAATTAGAAGAGAGGAACAAATAACTGGTCAGTTTCATTTTTGCTTTCAATCTTACAGTTGTTTCGTCCTTGTTCATTGCAAATGTGTTTGTATTTTGAATTTATTTTATCCCGATTACTGAAAGATGTTGTGATCTCTTAAAGTTCAATGGACGCACTCGAATCGATTGTGTGAATTTTATGATAAATTATGCAGTTTTGGGTTTGAATCTTTGTTTGGTGATTGGAGATTGATTTCTCTGTTTCTTCGTTGCCGATTCTGGTGCTCCCATGTCTTCATCGGAGAAGGCTGTGCCTGCTGCTGGTCTGCTTGCTGTCGTTTCTCACACTGTTAATTGTCTTTTATTTTTGTTGATTTGATTAACGGTACAAGCATATCTTTATTTCTATTAGTATCTTGATTTGCTTAACAGTTCAAGCATATATTTTCTATGTTTATTGTTTCCTTGGTGTTTAATTTTATTTGAATTTCTTAATTTGTTCAAAGGATGCTTTGGTTAGTAGCCATTTTTATTTGGATTTATAGCACCAAGCGTATAGGTGAATGGTGAAGCCGTTTGTATGGGTTCATGTATCTTAAACATGTAGTGAGAAGTGAGGGTTTTGTTTTAGTGTTTTTGGTAATCATGGATACTATGATTTGGGGTTGCTTTCTTAAACCATGATAAAGCAGTCCAAGTAATTTTAACATGGATATTATTTTATATCTTTTTTTATCTAATGCATGAGTACATGAAATGTTAAGACAATAATATATTGGGCAACACCACGTGATTTAAAATGCTAAGAGAGACGCTGAACCATGTTTGATATTTTGTTTGTCTTGGTTGATTTGAATTTGAGCTTTTTTGAGCTGGATTCGTGAGTTTTGTTTAAGATTTCATTTTGGGGTTGTAAATGGTTTGCCAATGCGAAAGTTTACGTCTTTTTATGGTTGGATTCATGGGTCTTTCTTAAACTTTCAAGTTCTTAGTTTTATCTAGAATTTTAATTTGGGTTTCATTTATTTGTAAAACTAGACACTTTTTTTGTGAAGATTTTCCTTTATAATTCAGTAAATGATTACTCATTCGATTGTAAATTTGACCTCTGTAAATTTCTAAGTTATTCGGGGACTTTGTCAACATCGTAGAGTTCTCTTCACAGCGCACCACTATTCCGTGCAGCATAGCTCGATAGCAGTTTTGGGTGAGTCTCAATTGCCCATTACATATGATTTTGCTTTAGTTTGTTCATCTTCTTTCGAATTTCTGTGCAAATATTTTTGAAGCCCAAGTGACTCAAATTTCAAATTTATGAGTAAATTGTTAAGTGTGGGTGTAGACACCCAATATGACTTTTACATGGTGTTGCTATCTGGTTTTGGACAGAATTATAATGGGGACTGTCTAAATTTTGGTTTAGCTGCAGATGAAGCGAGATCAAAAGGTTATAAATTAGAGGTATAATTTAATTTTTGTATTTGATGTATTGTTGAATTAATGAATACAGCAGGAACATTGACTTGACATATATGCTTTCGTTTTATTTTTTAGAATGGATAACTGAATTTTGTGTGTTTATGAATGTGTAAACTTTTAATTACAGTGGAAGTGACCAAAAATTATCGGGAATTAGTATTAAGTTTACACACCGAAAGAAATATATCGAAAATAGCATTATTTGGTAGAAGGAAAATTTGGTTTCAATTAAAGGATGGCAGGAGGAGAAGGAGGAAGACCTTTGGAGCAAGCACCAACTTGGGCAGTTGTCGATGTTTGTTTTGTTTTGGTTTCGATGCACATCGAATATTTCATTCATTTAATTGGAAAGGTTTCCTTTCACATGTAATTAGGTTAATTTCATCTTATGAAGTTATTTTTGGGTTTATTATAAATGCGAAATGAGGTATTTTGATTAAATTTTAATTGCACTCCTTCCAGTGGTTGACAAAGAGAAACAAAAGAGCTCTCTATTAAGCTCTTGAGAATATCAAAGCGGAGCTTATGCTATTAGGGCTTCTATCTTTGCTTCTAACAATAGGACAAGACCGCATTTTAGATATATGTACATCGAAGGCTGTTGGGGCAACTTGGCATCCATGCAATAATAAGCAAGATGTCAGATCAGACAAAAGCAAAGATAAGAGTAGTGCTTCAGTTGACAACTCTCGCCGAAGGCTTCTCTCAGTCTTGGTAATCATTGATACTATGATTTAGGGTTGCTTTCTTAAACCATGATAAAGCAGTCCAAGTAATTTTAACATGGATATCATTTTATATCTTTTTTTATCTAATGCATGAGTACATGAAATGTTAAGACAATAATATATCGGGCAACACCACGTGACTTAAAATGCTAAGAGAGACACTGAACCATGTTTGATATTTTGTTTGTCTAGGTTGATTTGAATTTGAGCTTTTTTGAGCTGGATTCGTGAGTTTTGTTTAAGATTTCATTTTGGGGTTGTAAATGGTTTGCCAATGCGACAGTTTACGTCTTTTTATGGTTGGATTCATGGGTCTTTCCTAAGCTTTCAAGTTCTTAGTTTTATCTAGAAATTTAATTTGGGTTTCATTTATTTGTAAAACTAGACACTTTTTGTGAAGATTTTCCTTTATAATTCAGTAAATCATTGCTCATTCGATTGTAAATTTGATCTCTGTAAATTTCTAAGTTATTCGGGGACTTTGTCAACATTGTAGAGTTCTCTTCACAGCGCATCACTATTCCGTGCAGCATAGCTCGATAGCAGTTTTGGGTGAGTGTCAATTGCCCAGTACATATGATTTTGCTTTAGTTTGTGTTTGGGTCCAAAATATCAGTTTGGGCCGAGTATAGAATTATTCTCGGCCCAGAAGGCCTTACGATAAGGTTATCAGGGATCGTTTAATTCTGGATCAGTTAGGTCGTGGGCTTCCAAACCTTGGCCGGTTAAGTCATGCTGCAAGACGAGTCGAATCCTGGTGCAATGAGGAGTCTCGGCAAGATTAATAACCCGGAAGTGAATCCGGCTCAATAAAGGACTAGGTTCACAATTATAGTGAAAATAGGACTGGTCGAGTTAGTGTTTCATCAGGAGAAGAAGTCCTAATCCGGGTAGGTTTTTAACTTGACCTTGAAGGTATCCAGTGCTATAAATAGAGGAGGATGTACATCGTTCGAAACCCCTCCAATTCAACACACAATTGCCCTGCGCAAACTCTCTCAACAACTTTGAGATTTTTATTTTCTCTTTTCGCTGACACATCTTCTGTTGGCATCAACAGCACTGTGAAAGCAACCGGTGATATCTTAAGTCGGCATAGATAGCTCTGTCACCGTAGAATCAGTCGATCTCGCAGCATCTTCCGTTGGCATCAACAACATTGCAGCGAGGACGATTGGTTACCTATCCAAGTCTCGGTCGAGAAGGATTTCTAAATCCTTATTGATTGAGGTCATCTCATTAGCCTTCTCGGCGAAGTGAGGTGTTACAGTTTACTAAGCTCGGCGCATTGCACGCCGAGTTATTTTATGATTGGATACTCTCAAGTGGGATTTAGAGTTCGACATTCAGACGGCCGAACCACGTTCACTATTAAGACTTATATTCGCTTTGAGTATTTATGCCCTTAGACTTTGGTGTCGATTCAGCGTGAGTTTATTCTGACGAATAACATCATTGTGACCGAATCCGACGACGGCGATTCGTGAACTTCGCAAGAATAGTAGCCTTGTCTTCAGGTTCGAGAACCCAAGAGGTCGAGACATGTTCCTTTCTCGGTCACAATCGCAAGACGTAGAAGTCAGCCGCGCACCCAATGCAACATCAACAAATTTACTCCTCGACCGAGGTCGGCCGACGAGTTGACAAGCCCCTCATTCACCGAATGACGTAGTTAACTTATAGATTACTCGGCATGCGCACCACGTAGGCTTAGTAGTTTTTAGGGTCAACATTTTGGCACGCCTAGTGGGACTCAATGCTAAACTACGAAGTTCATGCCAATTGAAACGTGATCGGTAAAAAAGAAAACAGCTTTGGGAAAATCAACAGCCGATTTGCCAATTCAGAACATAGGACAAAGTGTGCCGCAGGCGCAGAATCCCATTAGCATCTTGACACCTGAGTCCACGAGTGCGACTCGTCGAGAAAGGGAAGTTAATCTCGGTGGTCAATTTCGCAGTCTTGAAATCCCTAACAGGAACACCTGCGTTCTCAATGAAGGGATAGTGGAGGATTGTGACGAGGATGGTGGCGAGGGATCTGATCCACCAACAAGATCGTTTATTCGAAAAAGACTTGACGAGCAATCTCGGACGGTTGAACAGACGTTTAGTCTAGGAATCTATAAACTTCATGACGTGATACGCAATACTAGTGATGCACAAACCAGATTACTCGAACTACTGGTTAGTAAGGTCAGCGAAGTAGGTCTTTCGACCTTGCCCAGCACTTGCCACCAAAAAATAATCTATTACCAATTGCACTGGCCGAGTCAACCCCTGCTCGGCTCAAACCAATTAACTTGGAAAAAGGAGGAGGATCAAATAATAGGTCTGACGGATCCGACCAAAGAGTGGAAGCAACACCCCTCGATATGACTGAGATCCAACGGATGATCGATTCAGCCATGAAGAAAGGGCCGAAGTTCCCTAAATTTATACATTCGTATCCAGCTTATGTGGAACAGTTCGAATACCCTAGAGGTTTCAAAATCCTGGATTTTAGCCTTTTCGTCGGAGAATCATCCTTATCCTCTTTGGAACATGTGGCTCGTTTCACCGCGTAATGCGGAG